AATGTATCAATTATTTACTTTTATCACTTCGTTACTCCTAGTTTCGGCGTGAAGTTTAATTGATTTTTGTGAGTTATCTCTTCGCTACGGATGATAGGTATGAACGTCATTTAATTTTGTGAAGTTCGCATTTTTTTGTCGCTAGTTAGTGACACGGACACGACATGAAGAATATATAGAACAACTTTTCTTTGCAAAATTATGAATAACAATCAAATCAACTTTCCCAGCTATTTTTTATCATTTCTCCAATATAGTAATTGTTCTAATCACTGCTGGTTTTTATACACACATATGTTTTGCGCATGCCTACATCCTACCTGTTTCGCAGTCCGCAGTAGGGTACTTAGACTAGGTATACATACACTTTGTTCTTGTCCTTTCCTTCGAAAACCTCAAGAAACTGCATGCTCACAAGTTTGAGAGGTGCGCGTTGTGCGTGGAAATAGGTTTAACAGTCGTAACGACGAACGAAGCAATTTTTAAGTAAGATAGAAGAGGAAACTAAGAGAAATCATGAATGTCGCGGATGGATTCGGATATACGCGTTCGGAGGTATTCGTATTTGTGGCGAGGGTGATGTTTATCGCCGCTTTTGGACTTTTCGGTATGAAATGGTTTATGAGCCAACTCGATTCCACGAGCAACGCAACGAAGAAAGCTAAGAAAAAGGTTACGTGTGATATTCTTCAGTGCTGTAACTTACATAACCTTTGCCCCACACGCATTGACAAAATTAACCTTACATTTTATGCCTCGGCGAAAGAGTACAATGTAAATATTCAACAGGCGCGGGAACAGTTACGGAAATTGGCAAAAACTGACAATCTCCTATGGTCAGTAGATATGGATCAATTGACAGATTATGAAATGATGATAGCTAGTCATATAGTGGACCCTAAAGATATTAGAGTTTCTTGGGATAATATTGCAGGTCTTGAACATGTTATTCAAGAACTTAAGGAAACTGTTATATTGCCTATACAGAGGAAAGAATTATTTGAAGATTCTCAGTTAACACAAGCACCGAAGGTATTTGATTATATCTTATTCATGTTTATTTGATCAAATGATTTTACATATTATAGTCTATATTTCTATTTTAGGGAGTGTTATTACACGGGCCACCAGGTTGTGGTAAAACAATGATTGCTAAAGCGACTGCTAAAGAAACGAAAACATGTTTCATTAACTTAGACGTAAGCATCTTAACTGATAAATGGTATGGTGAGAGTCAAAAATTGACTGCAGCTGTCTTTTCATTAGCTGTGAAACTCCAACCATGTATAATCTTTATTGATGAGATAGGTAAGTAGCTAAAAGGAATATTTCATTGTTTTTATTTTGAGTATACATATTGTTTCACAGATTCCTTTTTAAGAGCACGTAATTCGCAAGATCATGAGGCAACTGCAATGATGAAAGCACAGTTTATGTCTCTTTGGGATGGATTGATCACAGATCCTTCTTGCACAGTTATAGTAATGGGTGCTACTAACAGACCACAGGATTTGGATAAAGCTATTCTTAGGCGTATGCCAGCTACTTTCCACATTGGTTTGCCAGTAAGTAAATCCCCCACAAAATTATATTAATAAAGGAACACATCCTGATACATATTTGCTTCTTATGGTTATGAATGACCTGATTTGTTCATATATTTTAGAACGAACAACAACGAACGGATGTCCTTAAACTCATTCTCGATCATGAGCCAATAGCTGAAAATGTGGACGTAGTAAGATTAGCAAAGATGACAGAAGGATTTTCAGGATCAGATTTGCAAGAACTTTGTAGAGATGCGTCCATCTATCGTGTTCGAGATTATTTACGCACACATACACAGTTAGTATTAATCATCGATATGTATGAATCAAAATTTGTTCGTTAAAATTAACTGCTACCGTTGTTTTCTTGCAGAGATGCCACTACTAGCAACGACGGTGAAGAATATCACGACACTGTGCGACCTATGACAATGGAAGATCTTGTTACAGCGTACAGAAAGATAAGAACATCAAAAATACAAACGGGTACTCTTAGTGCTCTTAAATCTGATGTAGATTAAACAAAATGTTATACGTCAATTTACTTCGAAATTTTTTATTTTTTGAAAAAAAATTAGGAAAATGTAATTTTATAATGTTAATTTCTCATTTACCATATCAAAAATTTTCATTCATTTTAAAGAAAATTTATTCTTGCAAAATTCCACAACTTATAAGTAACCAGTTACGAATATCAAACAGAGCATGAGAGTAGAATGCATACACTTTACTTACATGTATGTAAAAATGTGTGTGTACATAAGATGAAATTATGATCTCTTTAAGAGCAGGAAAATTTCGTTACGGTTTAGATTATTTTGTTACATTCACAGCATGAAATTTATAGTCTAAAAAGCGTGTAAATGAATTGAATAATTTCATTAGGCATAACTCGATAAGTTTAATCCAAGTATGAAGTAAATCTTCCAGTATCTACATACCTTTCCATTTATTACGTTTATATTTTTTACGATTTAATGGAGTAAAATGCACCATACTGGAAGTTCCTATGGATCTGCGCAATTCTTTCCCCGTGATAGTCTCTGTGTGTGTATATGTGTGAGTGTATTTATGTGCGTATACATGACTCGAATTCAAGTTAATGTAATAAAAAAAATCAATATCTTGGTTATTGTTATATAAATTAATTCATGTTATTACATCTAAATATATAAACTTTTGTATTTATCACAGTGTACAAATAAGGGTTCGTGAAGATTGTTATTCATAAACAAACGAATAATTTAAACGTTATTAACGTCTTTGCAACTGACAAGTTGATGAATATAAATTTCTAGGTACAGCATAGAACAGCAAGAATCTGATTAAAGAAAAATACTGCGGAATGTACAATAAAATCAAATTTCCAGATCGCCAAAAGAACAATATTTACAGTTTTACTTATTAAACATGAACTGTTTGTGAATAAATAACTAAAGATTATAACTTTTAAGTCGCCAAGATAGATATGTAGCATAATTAAATACGATTGTTGACGAACGCTAATAAAATAAAATCTTTATTTCAAGTACGTTACTTCGTTTGTCAAATTCATCAAACCGTACTCTTCCTAATTATGAATATGTAATACCGTGACGCAACGTTATCAGCAGATTAAGCAATCTTATCGCTCACGCAAAGGAAGTCAAAACGAAAAAAATGTTTTCTAATTCATTTCGATATCTCAATTCGTTCCGGAGATGTAGTCTTCCAAAGTTTAGACGCAGCATTTGATATTGCTGACACAGTGACCTAGTCACACGTATCACCTGGGCGTTTAGACCAGTGAGTCGGTCAACGTGCAAAAGGGATAACAATAGCGACGCAGAAAAAATTATGCTTGCCTTCACAGGAAAATATCTCCGGGACCGGAAGTCGGATCGATATGAATCAAACGGTATTTTCAAGGGGAAGCCTTCCTGCTTCGAACATTGGAAGTTTTATCCGTCTACAGTTATTTATTGCGAAGTAATTAAATCAATTATCGAATAAATGAAGGCGTACATAACAAAATAGCAGAAACATACAAAATGTAAATTTTTAAATATACGAATAGGTCTAAAAACATATCTTATCTAATTACATTTGTTTGTTCCATCGCCAGCAGTTATCAAATTTTATACAACGTTAAAAAGATAATGCATATGTACTTGAATGTATGTTTATGTAATATGATAAGCGGTACAAGTGGTGGCTGCCGTGATACAATATTAAACAGATATTCGGAAAAATTGATTTAGTGTTTAATACTGTTGCAGTTTGGGTAGAACTAATTAAAGGCAAACGAAATATCGTATTATATCTTGGAGATTTGTTTAAGTGTATGAACAATGGCACTTTTAATTACGGATGTTGATGTGAAAGACATCAGATTTCCAACGTCGTTATTAGCAGATGGAAGTGATGCTATGGTACATAAGAATAATTCGACAAGAAAACTGTATAACACAATTATAAATGTTTAATCCTACCAGCCCTTTAATCAAAAGGTAATATTATTTTGTTAGCACACTGATCCTGACTATTCTTGTGCCTACGTTACAATCAAGACTAACAAAGGAATTGAAGGATATGGATTAACATTTACTTTGGGCAGGGGCACGGAAATCGGTATGAATATTTAAAGAACAGTTGGAAATATTATGTATCTATCGTTACTTACAATTAGAAAAAGGTATTTACTAAAGATCTCAAATCTATTCACAGTCGTACAGGCTTGCAAGTCAATGTCATATTTAGTAAAGAATCAGAACGTAACTGAAATTTTCGAAAATTTTGGGTCCTTCTGGAGGAAGCTAACCAGTGAATCTCAACTAAGATGGGTAACGTATGCGAATGCATGGTTATTTAATAAAGATATTGTTAGAAACATTAATTAATTTGGTATGTGAATGAAATTCGGTAGATTGGACCGGAAAAGGGTGTTACCCATCTTGCCACGGCTGCCATAGTAAACGCACTGTGGGATCTGTGGGCTCGGATAGAAAATAAACCCGTTTGGCAACTACTTGTCGATTTAACTCCCGAACAATTAGTTTCTACGATTGATTTCAGATACATGTGAGTTTCGGACATTTAGAAAATCGAAGAAAATCAATCTTTTAAATGAGCGACTTCAATTGAAGCATATCTTTTCTAGCACCGATGTCATTACGAAGGAAGAAGCAATAAAATTATTGAAAGACAACGAGAAGGGGAAAAAGGAACGCGTGGAGTTGTTACGAAAAAATGGATATCCAGCGTATACTACGCAAGTGGGTTGGCTCGGATACAGCGACCATAAAGTTCAAGAGCTTTGCGCAAAGTTTTTAGCCCTTGGTTTCACGTCTTTTAAAGCAAAGGTCGGGCAAAATTTGAAGGATGACATAAAAAGATGCCAACTGATACGCGATGCGATAGGATACGAGAATAAATTGATGCTCGACGCAAATCAAATTTGGGATGTCAATGAAGCGATAGAGTGGATGAAACAGTTGATGAAATTCAAGCCGGTTTGGATAGAGGAGCCCACGTCTCCGGACGATGTGTTGGGTCATGCGATAATTGCGAATGAGTTAAGACCGCATGGTATCGGCGTCGCGACTGGTGAAATGTGCGCTAATCGCGTAATGTTTAAGCAACTGCTGCAAGCGAAAGCGATCGACTATTGTCAAATTGATTCGGCTAGAATTGGTGGCATCAACGAAATACTAGCCGTTTATCTGATGGCGAAAAAAAGGGGCGGTAAGTCAGGATTATTACGTTCAAAGTTTAAGCACGATTTCAAATACTGTACTGAACATCTCCGAATTCGAAATTTCTCATATTAGTTCCAGTCTGTCCACACGCTGGTGGAGTGGGTCTCTGTGAAATGGTCCAACATTTACAAATGTGGGATTTTATTTCCTTGACAGGATCAACCGAAAATCGAGTGATAGAGTATGTTGATCAGCAGCATGAGCATTTCGAACATCCTGTGCGTGTTCAAAATGCATGTTACATGCCGCCTACAGCGCCAGGTTATTCGACCAAACTGAAACAGGACTGTATCACCAAGTATTCGTATCCAAGTGGACAACAATGGACAGATATGTACGAAAAAGGGATTTTTCAAAAACCATCAAATTAAGATAAATACAAAAACAAAATGTACATAATTATATTAACTGTACAATGATTTATAGTATAATACAAATATATTTTCGCAAATCTAAAATGCATAAAAGATGTACCACAGCATTTAAATACCACAATAAAACAATTGCTTTTAGGGAAGACAAATCCTATTTATAGATAGATTCAAAGTTTTATCTTTCAGCAAAGAAGACATTAAAGGTACGTATCCTACCTTTGAGCTTGACCACGTCATTACTTACGACCTTCAAGGTAAGATTTTACGTAGTCTGTCTGTAAAACATAAATAATTTTACGTTACTCATAAATATATATAGATATAAAAATTGTTGAGATTAACTTTGTACATACGCACATTTACAAACCAGTAGGAGTTGTATGCAAATAGAATTCGGTTTTTAAAGCTCATATCACAGATAGGAGAAATAACATGTAAATGCAAATGATGTACTGTGTTAAATGGTGGCCAATGAAAGCCCGCGCGTGTAGATTGTTTGTTTAAACCTTGTTCTTTTAAAATTGTATCCATTGTAGAGATCATTTTCTCATCTGAAAATAATTCTCTGTGAGTTGCACAAGTCTAACTGAAACAAGAATGACTAAAAATTGTACACTAATGGCACGTACAAAGTTCAGCATCATCCGATTTAAGTTCTTTGGCATTACGTATGTGTCTCTTTGGTAATATTAGATAATGATATGTTGAAGCTGGATTAATATCCTTGATGCACATCACTTGATCATCCTGGAATTAAATATATGTATTTTGGTATAGAATGGTTGAATGACAACACAGAGATTTTTTTATATATAAATAGACTTTTTAAATGGAATTTTGAATATGAACGTACAATGTAAGGAGTCAACATTTAAGAATGTTACATGACACAAACAATAATGATTAATATTTCTGTACCTCGTATATTTTCTCGCATGGTGCTTTGTTATTTATGATGTTGCAAAAAATGCAGTTATCTGTATGAGTCTCCATGTATGACGTTAAATTTCTTTTAACGAAAATCGTTTATTTAATAAACACACCAAAATTCACTACAGACCAAATATTTACTGTTTTAATATCAGTTTCAACTTCAATTTTAATATTCTTTAATAACCACAACGAGACTGGCGTTTATAACCTGCCTGTGTTACTACAGGTACTGAATCAGTACCGTCAGTACTACTGACACTGACACCACTGACACTGACAGGTACTTGTTGGTTCAAATAATTTCATGGACATCTAGTGGTGAAAGAGTGCAATCCTCAGATAGAACATGTAAAAGTTTACCATTGCTATTTATGTGCATGCAATTACATTTTACTTTAAATTACATACTGTAGGCTATAAAATAAATAAGATCAGGACCATTCAGGACGTCAGAACTACACGAGCGTTTCACAGGTATCATTCGTGCAGTCTAAATTATTTACCAAGTTTAGGAGAAAAGGGAAAAGTATAAACAATCATTGTTGTTCGTATCATGTTAAAATGATATGTTGTAAACAAGAAACATTTCATTTAATCGTATTACTTTTTAATTTAAAATATATAAACTGTACATCTATTTATAAGTAGTATGTATTTATATGTTTTTATATATAATAGTTGTGAGCATGATAAAATGGTGACAGATGTAGCATATTTTCTTTATACATGGCAGTTTAGTTGAACAAAGAAAGTATCTTTGTTTTTTTAGAAATCGGTCGAATTCTTCGAAACTCCATGCGCTCATTTTCATTTCCATTTCTAGACAGAGATGAGAAAATAATTTCTGTACTCGTCGCACTATATACTTATTCACACATTTTCCTAAAATAACGTACGTCACAGAGTTTGAAATTTCGGAGAACATAAGTTCCATGGAAGATGTCTGCTACTTCGTTCTCTGTTGCTAATACATTCATCACGAGATATTTCAGTTCTAAGAGGATTTTAAATGCAACCGTGGAAATATTCCTTCCTCTCTTTTTTAAACGCCCGTAATTAATTTTTCACGTTATTTACTAAAGATATATACATAGGTAGTCTTCAATTGCGTCGTTCGTTTTCAACAGAGCCCGGTCAGTTGAGAAGATATAGAAAATTAAGATTGAGAAACGAATCGCGTTAGGAATTACTATCCGTTCCGCGTTGGCCCAGTGGCAACTTAGATGCTAGATTTACTGGGATTATCCTAACTGTACAGCATTCACTTTCTGCTTTTCCTTTATAAATATTTCTTATAAATTATAATTAATAATCTACACTTCCGCCTCGACGCAAGACTCACACAATATACATAATATTCGCTTAAAACAATCCGTCTTTAATACTGCAAACTCCTCCCTTTCTCTACCCCGTTGTGTCCGGTCTAAATCCCAACCCTTCCTGCTTTTCAATCACTTAGTATCACCACAAGCCCCGGTTTCCGGCCTTGAATTACTAAGAAATATATGTCTTTATTCTTGCTTCCCGTATAAACACGCTTTTTTGGTTGGTGGCTTTTGATCGTCTGTATCACCGCTCTCACCAATAGATTGTGAAGTTGCAATGAGAAACTCGACGATTTCAAGTTAACTTAAACCGATCTAATAAAGAGGTAAGTTTCAGCTGCCTTGGTACGGCATTTGATCCGGAACGGCGGACGAATGATTCTGAGTTGGACTTTGATGGAAATGCGGATTGCTACCGTCTTGCGATAAATCGCCGACCGATGGCTCCTCGTATTTCCCTCTTTTGAAGCGACCGTACAAAGAAGAGTACGGCAAGTTATAGTGGATAGCCGCTTGATTGATGCTCATGTGGCCTAATCTGAAAATGGACAACCATCATACCACACTCATGTTCTTCTCTATTGGCAATTCATTTGATACATTCACTACACTATATCTAGCAAATGTCTGGTTTAATCAATCATCAAATCCGTTCTTTGTGTTGAATGTTATTTTATTGTATAAATGAGCTTCTATATCGAGTACAAGAACGTAATGCAATTGTCAATAAGGAAAAGAGAAAATTATAATTTACCTAACTGCTTCGAGGGCTTCAGTCATAGCGTCTTCGCTCCATGGCGTAGGATTACTCCTGCTAAGTTCGATTCCTTCCCTTTTGCACCGGCCATATAAAGTCCCCGTTGGTATACCGAATTCGGTGGAGGCTCTCTGGACCGATGTCTGACCAGAGCGTATTGCTTCCAGGGCGCGATCGAGATCGGCGGGCGACCAAGTGGTGGGACTCGCATTAAAAGGTGCAGCTAATCTAATGCCCTCTCTCCTTGCGATTTTATATAATGTGCTTGATGGTATACCGAACGCTTTCGATGCCTTATTCGCCGATATCGTTCCAGTTCGTAACGCTTCGAGTGCGTTGTTCAAACTCTCGTCGCTCCAGGATTTGGTAGGCCCATCTTTCTTCGGTGTGTCGATACCTAGCCGATGCGCTCTTTGCCATAACGTTGTCGAAGGTATACCAAAAGTTGCTAAAATGAATATCATATGCAACTCGATTAAATACAAGAATGTCGAAAGAGCTAGAGCAATGTATCTTTGTGGATACAAAAAATAAACGATTATAAATTCTCATTCAAGATCATGCGAATTCAAAATTAAAAACGTGGACTTCTGTGTCTGTGAAATTGGAAATACTTGTTTGTAAATTACCGGAGGCTTTTGTAAGGCTCATGTCGTGATTTCGTAAGGCTTCCAACGCGGCATCCATATCCTCTTGAGTCCACGATTTCGAGCCGTGATGATGAGAACTCGATTGTCCAGAGTGACCCCTCGAATTGGTCTCCCCGGAATCCGAGTGTACCGAACTACCAGAAGGCATTAATCCGAGTAATTCTGGTGTGATCATCATCATATTGTCGCTGTCGGCTGCGTTCTTAGAACTAACGCTCGCCCGATCTGACATGTGGCTGTCGATATCGATCGTGTCCGATGAATCCATTGTGTGTAACGTCTCAAATTTTATTTTTACACTGTCGCAAGTTTGGATTTCTGTGAACAGACGCGAAAAAACAACACGGTTCTAATAGATGCGTTTTTTTGACCAACGAAATCACATAATATCGCGACGCAACGAAACATAAAAGTACCTGGACGATGTCACCGTCATCGTCGCGTCGATGAAAGAAGTTCCACCGAAGGCAAAGTTAGATGCACGCACTAAACGAGCTTGCGTAGGCTGTTGCGAATCGAGCAACGCAAATCTAATCGCAACTAGTTAAGCCTGATTAGACCAATTATTTTGATTCCCTCCCTGTCTAATGACCGGCTGCGGTTTTACTCCCCTTTACGATTCATCCCGAGTTACCACGATGCCCGGTTAGTAGCCGCGAAATCGGAATCTTATTGCAGATTTAGCTACATATTCGAATTCACTGTCTTTTTATGATTTGCGTGCTTCCGAATGGTTTAGAAATGAAGATGGCAATGAAATGTAGAATGTGAGCGAAATATAAGAAAGTACCGGACAAACAGTAGAAGTAAAATAACATAGTAAATCATATTTTAAAAATATTTTTATATGCATTTAAACGTGTGGCTTATGTTGCTTCAATGTGCAATCATAAATTGTACGGGTAAGGTGTTTTACCTGTAGCATGGTGATCCGGGTCCCTTAAGTGAGTAATCGTAGTGCCGACTAACGTGGCACTTGGTGGTGTAGGTTGAGTTTCCGGTGGTAGATCAACATCTCCGGGATCCGGATGATGACCGTAGTGTCCGAGACCTGTGTGACAGAACATATCACCTTTTTACTTAAAGTGAAAACAGTCTGTCCTATACGCTATCATAAAATGGACGTCGCCCCACACTTAAATCCGCCACGTGGTTTACACCAGTCTTTTATTTATTCACGTTGTAAGTGAATCGAGAAAGAAAATTTAAGTCTCGGTGTCGAAAATTCATGCAGTGTAAAATGTTTCAAAAGCATCCCATACATGTTCGTAGCAAATTTTTTCTCACGGAGAACACTATCCAAATGATGATGGAATGATACAGAATTTTTTATAATAATCGTAAGTATACAATATAAGAAAAGTAGAAATTTAAAAGTCGTACCAAAAGATAATACGATCTTGGGAAATGAATAACATGCGGTCGTTATATGAGCGTCATACCGCGCGAAATCGACGTTTGACGTCGGTATGATGGAATTTGCTTAAAATGGCATGTAATGTATTTCATACAAAATCATCATCACTTCGTTGATTTCGAAATGATTAAAGGAATTCAAGCTTTTGAATGGAATTTATCGTATAGTCGCAGAATTAAATACAGCGACTAACCGGTCGTAATAGCGCGGCACTAGCGGCCCATCTACCTAAAATGGGATGCCCTTTTTGAATGATTTATTATAAAGTCAGTATAAATGCCTTCATTTTCGAACAAAGTTTATTTCGTAGCTGAAGGTTGAATGAATATAGTCATCCTCTTTTGAGAAAGAGTTAATTTTTAAGCGATGTCAAACAATGACTTCGCGCGGTATAACGGCCGGCTTTTATTCATCTCTCGAGATCATATTAATTTTTAGTAACATCTTTAATTCACATTTTCGTGATCTTCGTGATATATACTTTCGATTAGTATAAAAAAATTCTTGTGCGATTGCATCATCACTTGAACAGCGTTCTTCGTCAGAATCGAATGTGTAACAGGAGTTTAATAAAAAATAACGTAGGGATTTAGGCGTGGGGCTCGTACCTCGAAGGACTGCTTACCGTTGTTGTTATTGTTGCTCGTACTGTTACCGTTGCTGTTGTTGCTATTATTATTGTTATTATTGTTGTTGCCGGTGCTGGCGATACTGGCGTTGCTGTTACGCTGGCAACTTTCCAAGACTACTGCTCCCGTGGTTGCCTCCGTGCACTCTTCATCATCGGCTTGCCAGTCTCTATGGTTCTGCGAAATATCCGGTACGAATTTAGCGACGACCGTGACGGGATGACCGCGTGCCGTCGTTTTGAGAACGGTTGTCTCGAGCGTTCCTAAGGTTTTCCCCAACGCGTTCATCGACATCGCCGCTTACCTCTTTGTTCTCGCGGTTGTAATTATCTTTCGATTCTTCCTCTTTGTAACGATCGTAATGCCTCGAATCGGTTGCACGAGGCTCGAATGCGGTCCTGGGCCTCTTGTATCTCGGATGATGCCTCTTCAGCTTAGTGAAATTTATCCTAGGAGTGCCGGGTTCCCTCGGCGGCGAACTCAGGCTCACAGAGGGTGGACCATCTCTGGTTTCGGGCACCTCGCAGAGTCCTTTGATCTTCAGTTGATCGGCGGTCTTCAACAGTGACTGTAACATACACAACGTAGAAATTGAGAAATTTATTCGATCACTTGAAATCCGTCGTGAATTCTTGCTCGACACTACTTCCGGCAATGACCGGTTGATCACGAAGCAGAAAGCAAGACCGAATATATTCACCTAAAAATAATGTTTGAATTCTATTCCCGCGGAATAAGCGCGGCTCATCAAAGCGACTCCGCGATCCACACGATCCGCGTTTTAGGATCGAAATAAGGAATGCCCGGTTTCGATGAATTCAAGTTCTGAGTGGAAAACGGAGGAAGAAGGACTGGCCGACTCTTCTTCGCATGTTTCGGGTAAAGGCTCGTCATCCTTGCGAGCTGGTCCAACGGATACGGTTTCATGTCGCAATTCCCGTCTCGTGTGGTGACGCGGTCTAAAATCAGTTTTCGCGATCCAGTTTCGGCGTGCGACGATTCACCGGCATAGTGCGTCGACCCGTGTCGAGCGGCGCGACGTCCTCCTTGGGACCACGATATTCACCCCACCGCTCCTCCCTGATCTTAACCTTGAAACCGATGCGTAAGGGAAACTAAGTAGATAGCTGAGACACGGGGGAGACGAGTAGAAAGGAGGGCCAAAAGAGAGGGAGAGACGGAGAGAACACGGGTGGGAATACTGGGAATCATGGAAAAGGAAAGGGATTGAGAATCGAGGATGGAAAAGAAAGGGACGCGATTACTTCCGCGTGACTCTGCACCGGTCCACGTGGTTACGACATCGGATCCAACATCCGAACAGGAATTACGATAGCCTAACGTGAACGGACGTAAGGACTCCTTGCAACGGGGAAGGAAAAGCGAAGCGGAAGCAACGGAAGGGAAAGTAACGAACAGACGAGACCGACGACGACGCGACGAACGAACGAGACCGAGGTCCGCGTTGAAGTTGAGGCTCTCTGTTCTTTAATCAAGGCAGGGATAGTGCGATTAGGCGGGGTCGGCAAGGGGACAGAGGCAGAGTATGAGAGCAGCGGCGGCGTCGGCGTCGGCGGCGTCGGTGGCAGCGGTGGCGGCGGTAACGACGCGGCCAGGAGGGGGTGAGAAAGCAGAGGAAGAGTTAGACGATGGAAGCGCTGGTTCAGGTGGGGGTTGGTTTAGGTAGGCTCCGCGCCGGGGGTGTCGGTGGCGGCTGGAAACGTGGAGTGTGGGCGGAAAACTGGGTGGCGGTGGATAGGACTAGGTTCACAGCGCTGTGCCTCGAAGAGAAAGAGGGGAATATGACGATGAAGCGAGAGGTAAAGTGGAGAGGAAGAGGGGAAAAGAGGAGAGAGAGAGAGATTGCGAGTGAACCAGCGATTGAGTGAGCATCTGAGAGAAAGAGAAGGGCAGAGAGGCAAAAACGCCCGCAGGAAGAATGGGGAGGCCTCCGACGCGGCTGTCGCGGCCCCAGGGCCGTATCGACCACCCCAACCTCCGATCCTCTCCTCGGCGCTCGCGACGGCACCGATATGACTTCCAACCGTTTCCACGTACACATCCTGTCTTTCGTTCTCCGTGTATCTCTTTTTATCTCCTCATACCACTCTTTTTCTTTCTCCTTTCTTCATTCACACTTTTACCCCGTCCTCTAGTTCGGAGCGGGGATACGTATTAACTTGGTCGAAATGTCCGCGAATCTTCGGGCTCGACAAGCCACGGGATATCGTAGTATTGGTTGTAGGGTGATTGAACTTTCGTGTTGGACATGGATGAGAGCGTACAGACAAAAATATCGTCGTGACAGTACTAGGAAAATTTTACCAAAAGAACATAACTTACTATTTTAAATACGTGAGAAAACGATTGGGTATGCGATAATGTGATGATAGCCGCGTGCCAGTAAAAATCTAAGTTATACAGTATCTCCATGGTACGATAATTTTTTATGTTGAAGTTTTACATCGATCACATTAAAATATATTATATAGTCTCATTAATCATAATAAAACATGTAGCAAATGAAAAACGGACAAACAAGCGAGGACGGAAAAAGGTAGATAAGGTGCGATGCTTCAACAAACGACAGGCAGGGACGTTGGCTGTGACGGCGGCACTTGGAGAACCACGGACGCTGGGCGATAGGTAGGGTAGCACGGGTGCCGGTGCAGGGGTTAGGGAACGGGTGGGTAGTTGGTTGGTTCGGCGGTGGATGCATAGGGGTGGTGCCATCGGTTCGGAGGCAAGAGGGAAAGCCACCGGCAGAATCCAACCTCACCAATCAATACTTAGGGTTCAAGGGCATCGCCCGACCAATTATCCCAGACTAATTGACGCGAGACGAAAAAGAAAAATTCCACCTCCGCTACCTTTGTTCTCTGATTTTCGTGACCGACAACCACGACGATACTTTCGTGGAACGTTCCGAGAACGAGAAGTCCATCGACGAAAGTCTTTGATCGGTATGCGACGTGGAACTACGATCATGATTCAAGGCGAGACAAATGTCCATAGTCGTCATCCTATACGGGTACGCAAAAAAGCGGCAATGATGTTAACAAGGAAATGGAAGGAGATGGATTCTTCCTCCTTTCGTAGAAGGAAATAAGGGGCGGTGAAGAAGGGAAGTCCAACAGGTGTAAATCCGCAAAAAGATCGACCGTGGAAACGGTTCATGAGACCAGGAAGGGGGGTAGCTTGGGGGTTGGTCCGTGTGAGACCGTACTAGCAAAGCTATGTACGCGTTACACATCTATAGCTGGTACGAAGAGACTCACCGTTGAAAGAAGAGCCGAAAGGCCGAAGGAGAGGGGTACAGAGAGACTGGTGTGAAAGGGAGAAACGAGAGAAGAAAAGCGGAGAGGAGAATGCGTACGGGGGAATCCCCGAAGATGGTCGTAGGGTCGTCTCCGCTATTACGAATACGGCGTCATAACGGAATTGATAATGTAACGGGCGTCACGAGCATAACCTTCCTCTCTTCTTCTCCATGCTACATAACTTCCTTTCTGAATGGAAGTGCGTCTCTGGCAACCACGTGTTCAACAATGACAACACGACGCTGGTATACTCTACGCATTTTTCTAACCGGCAAACTCGAAACATCCCTTAATCTTTTTATCGTTACGCTTTATTCCATAACTTATCGTCCACAAGTAATTTCGTTAGTTATTTTCTATTTTCCGCTGTGTAATGAAGAACAATTTAATCGCGTTCCAACGTATCGCCTAGATATTGAGTTACAATTAACAAGAGTACGCGGCTATTATAACTTAAGATCAAGCGGGTGAGATGTAATCTGCCTGCCGAATGTTTACGAATGTGAAGTAGAGAAGTCTGATAATGCGGATGGCGCAGTTTCGTAGGAACGTCTACGTCTATAGGAATCTTATACACGTACGAAAGGTGCACGACGGACGGATACGCGCGTACGTGCATATCATATACCTATCCTTCAGCACGTAATTCTTCGGTCGTTATGCGTACATATGTACTTCACTCGCGATTATCACTCGATTCGCTAGCGGTATCCAAATACTTAATCTTACAACGCACAGACAACATATGCACTTTTATTCATTAGGAGATCAATACGATTTGTACGGCTCGCTCGTTCGAATTCATTGCATGTTCAACACAAGTTTCGCGTATTCACCTTTGGAGATACGTATATACTTTTACGCGGGTGCTTCAAACGATGTCCTTCGATTGAGTCCTCGTAAGCAAACGGTCGTTCCATCGGATTAACGTGGATAACGATTAACATGTACACCGTGCACTCAGCGTGCATGACACTGTTCACTAGTGTTCACTCGTTTGATCGATGTTGTATATGCATCGGCGATCGGTGCATTCGCCTCAAGGTGGATTATCCGAACGATGCAGACGGTGGTAAACACTTTGCTCCGAATCGTCCTGTCTCTCTGCTTCATTCATGAAGAAAGACACCAGCACGTGATCTCCCGACGCTCCTCCGTGTCCGTGCATCGCGCCGGTGATTTACCATCGTATAAATTTAGCCGACGATATTTCGATACAGACGAGGCAAGTGGTATAGACATAGAGCATACCGTTCTCACACGTGCTTAATACGATTGTCCACGATTCGGCGGGCACGTTCTTCGGTATCCATATAAAACTTTCGCTTTCTTTCCTTTTTAACTCACTGTCTCCCTTTCCTTCTTCCCGCCTTCTTATCATCTCTTTCCTCTATGTCTGTTGTGAGAAGTTCATCGGAGCAATGCCCATTCTGTCGCAAGTAGCAATAACGCGAGGCGAAGCGACACGACGCGACGAGACGCGGCACAACATGACACAATGCGTCCGCCGAGACACTCTTCCATCGTGGCGCGAAGGAAGTTGTATCGTTTATCACTCACCTGGCTGCGACACTCCGTAGGTGAACAATCCCTCGTTGATAGAGCAGAGATGTACAGAGGACGGAAGAGATGGGACAACGAGGAAAGAGCGAAACGGAGAAAGTCGGACGAGTGATACGAAAATGAGAAAAAGAAGGTGCGCCAAGGGCAACGAGATGATAAAGGGGAAGAGAAGCAAACGGAAAGACGAGTAGAGGAAGAAAGATAAGTGGATAAGGAAGTACAGGAGGTGGAGAAGGAAGAGAAGGCGATGGAGCAAAAGGAAGAAGAAACAGAGAAGACCGAGAAAGAGGAAGAAGGAGGAGGAGGAAGAGAGGGAAAAGAAACAAGAAGAGAAGTAGAAGAAGAAGAAGAAAGAGGAAAGGCACGGTGGAAGTCACGAGGAGAAAACGAGGTGGTATCGGCGTTGGTGGAGTCGACGTCGTGAAAAAGCCAGATGAAACCGTGTACGAGGAGGTTACGACCACGTAGAACGAGAGGATAATTCCTGGCAGGGCCCGATCTCCTACGCGGCGAAGCCCAACGAAAGTGAAATGGCATTCGGCGCTCCGTGCTGAGGGCGCACGGCATTCGGAGGAGCGAGGAGATGAAGAGGACGCGGCGAAGAGCGGGAGGAGGCAGAGGCAACGCAGAGCCAGAACCGACGAGGAAGAAGAGGAGGAGGAGGAGTAGCACGAGGAGGAGGAAGAGGAGGCGGTGGCGGCGGTGGCGGCGGCGGAGGACGCCGCGAAATTCGCCGACGCGACGCGACGAACAAGGACGGATTCAGACCGCGCTCGAGCGCGTACAACGAGGAAGAGACTCGCGGGGGATGCGTTCTCGACGGTGGACAGAGAGCGATTGAGCGTACGCGCGGAGCGAGCAAGCGAGCCAAAGCACCTGACCAGTCCCTCAGCGAGCGGGGAAAGGGGTTGAAAACCGGCGGCGGGTGGCAGAATGGTCGGTGGAAAGCGCGGCGCAACGGTACGGCGGGGTGACCGGGGTGATGGGAGTCCGTTTGGTGGAGGGGTGACAGAGAGAGAGAGAGAGAGAGCACATGGGCGGATGGGAACGGGTTCCCGCGGGAGAGAGCAAGACTTTCTCTAACCGGACGAGAATGGAGTGTACAGTCTGCGCGGAAACGAACGAGACAGAACGCGAAAGACGGAGAGCCTGAACGCGGTTTGGCCACGGCGTGATGAAGATGGACGCAAGGCTCGCGAGAGGACGGGAAAGGACAGAGGCCTGGTTCTGGCATCGGCGCGACAAAGCCAACGTTATGCACTCGCGTGAACGCGCCGCTCGAGACTGTGTATATGCGTGCATATACCCTCTACAGAGAGGAGAGAGAGAAAGAGGGAGAAAAAGAAAGAGAGACGAGCGTCGCAGTGATGTACGCCTAAAGTTAGGATCCTGGTTTCCGTACTCCACGAATGAACATAAAAAGAATTAATACCGCTGATCGATCGCGAATCAATGCATTGTTCAAATTTACACGGTAGTAATAATAAAATATTAGAAGAAGTCAGTGTTTGTCGATGTCGTTTCTTCGCATCGAATAGAAACAGACACTACGTATAAAGAAAGCTTAATCACGGTTCCGTTTATACATATCTCTACGGCCTACGCTACAGCTAAATCTATAAAGACAATGCTACTGAATTATGTATCTATTCATTAGACTTCTATAGTATTAACAAAATTCTACGAGTGTACGATGTTTCTTTAAAATTATTTCCATAACGTTGAACAAGAAATCGCCTTGTCTTTCTTGTCGTGAGAGTTACGAGGGGCCCACTGAGAAAGAACGGAGACCTCTTTGGGCCAGCCCTGCGCAAAGCTGACTCGACTCGACTGGACTCCATTCGATCCGATTCGACTCGACTCGACGCAACTCGATTCGCGGGCGAGGCGTTGCGTCGAGGGAAGAGGGCATGGTTTCGGGAGACCGAGCACTACACAGGAAAGGATGGAAGAACCAAAATGAAGTAAAGCAAAGAGAAAAAGATCCAGGGAAAAGAAGAGAATGACAGAGAGGGAATGATAGAAGAATGGTAACAGAGTACAGAACGGATATTTCGAATGAGAAAGAAGGAGAACACCAGTTGCGAATTGCAGTGCTTGCGCGGACAAAGGGAATCTGCGGCTCCAGTCGTTTCTACGTGTACGCATACATGCGACGACGTGCAACTGTGTGCACGCATGCACGCTGGCGCAGAAACCGCGTGTCTAGAATCGACGGAAGAAGCGCGAATTCTCTTGTTTCTCCTCGTTCGAGTTTGCCGCGTAACCCTCTTCCCTTTTTGCCGGTTCTTCTCTACCGTTTTCCTTTACTGTATATCTCTTCTTATCCTATTTCCTTTCTCGTTTTCTTTCCTTCCCCCTTCCCATCGTTCCTTTTCGCTTTCCCTCTAATTTGCGTCTATCGAATGGGAATAAAGAAAGCATGATCACCAAACACTGTTCTATGTATACGTAACGTTGGCTACTTTGGTACGTTGCACTTGCACTCATTGTCGATCTCGCTCCAGAACAACCTCGAACTGGCATATGTATATGACATTCTAATTTCGGACAGGATCTGACTGAAATTACAATATACTATGCTTCTTGCGAAGTATGGTTTCCCTTTTCAAATAGCTCAATCGATCGACGTAATAACTCGTAATAATAACTAAATGATAACGTAATTATTTATAAATGAAAGGTATTTTTAGTAAAATGATTGTTGGTAAATTCGAGGTGACCGCATCATTTAGATTTACTTGGTAGCCGCCTATATTGAGTGTATCGATTTCGAGACTTGATTAAAACTGTCTCCGAATTCCGAACAAGCATAGCGCCTGGTTGTAGCAATCCGGTTCTAATCTAATGCTATTGTAAATTCAAATCTAGAAATATTCTGTTTTGAAATGAGATATTTATAGACCTGTACTGAACATTACACAGCAAGACGGACACGAGTTCAATTCCCTTCCTGAATTTCATCATACAGGTTCTGTATGTCCAATTTTAGATAAATAACAGCAAGTTCAAGGTAAGGACGAGAACAATACCAATTCTCTAGAACGCGTTCGTTTTTGATCTCACCACCGAGTCCTTACTGAGCTCCTTGCTACCAGCCACTCGAAGAAAAGAGATGCATACTGATCGAGAATGAGGCCAGTAGGGACTACTACTACTCCTATCCTTCTGCCTCCGCTACCTCATACCTCATATACCTTCTCGACTTTCCACTTCTGCTCTTTCCTTCCGATTAGATCCGTTGCACACATCCGTTTTTTTCGACGTGTGCCGAAAGTACGGAAACGTAATTGCGGTTTCTAACACTATAAATTATATTAGGTGATTTTCGGATAACTTATTTGATTCCGAGTCCTGAATCGACATACACAAATGCGTTCATATAAGTACGCGTTCCTCTATATTACGTGAAAAGTCCAGTTTCAATTTTGTGTTCTCATTTTTCCTTCTATCCATGCCTTACATTATTTAAATTTATAAGATAGCTAGCAAAAATTCTAATATTTGTATGGAAATGTATTTAGAGGGGAACGTATATCTATGTAAATACGTCGCAATTTGTCTATCTGTAAGTCGGTTCGGAATCCAATGAGTTATTTGTATACATTCGCCTAAAACTAATTACAGCGTCGGACGTTTACGTTGCATATACTTAATGCTTACCATCGTTAACTGGAAGAATGTATGATCAGGTATACTAGACATACGCGGTCGCTAAGTACACAGTCGGATATTAGCTGATGGACAAATCAGTCATTTTTGGGCTAAACTGTGAATCCGCTAATGTAAAAGCACCGTACGTTAAGGAAACGGATGTGTGTAGCGGGCCTTAATCCTATTCCGCATAATTCAGAATTTGAATAATTGATTAACCCTTTCCATACGATTGTACTATATATTGTAGTTTATTCGAAATAATTAACTTATCCAATGTTTGAAACTCGGAAAATTTTTACATAGTAACATCGTATTATACAATCCTATTTTCGCTGCTAATAAAAAAAGTACTGCTTTCTTACTTCGCACACTATTTACATACACGTAGTTCGCATCGAATTGAAAATATTCCACTTAGAAAGAGTCAGTCAATAGCATTCAAGGATTTAGACTTAGACAACGAACAATTTTTCACTGCAGTGAGTTAGTGAAACGGTGAAAAATTATATGCCTCCATTTTTTCTAATTATCTTAAACCTTGCACGATCATTCGCGCGAAATCTAAGTGCATGCAGCTTGATGCACATGAACGATATGCTTTCTCTTCGTACGTTGTCGTCTTAATTCTTGTTTCAAGGACAACGAGTTGAAGACCCCCCTACACATATTCTTAAGGGCCATACTTACATAAGTTTTTATTCGACAATGAAATACGAAATAAACATTTGTCAAATTGAATCTATTAATATATTAAATAGATTTCTCACATCTTTAAATTTACATTGTATATAGTATTGCCAGAATTTTTCTTGGATATTGTGATATATCCGTAGAGAACGGTGAATTATGAAAACTTCATTTAAAGATTCAAATGAAAAGTATTAAATCGACAATAAAATTTATTTGGCGGAAATTAAGCCGGAATAAGAAAATAATAAAGAAATGTTAAATGTTATTGTGAATACAGAAACAGAGATATTTTTAGATTCAGATGTATAAGTTTTTTCTATAAGAGTAATGTTTGATGTGACTTGCAACGATATATCTAGAGACTAAAAGAAGCGGGAATGGGAATAGATTCATAACGCAGGAATTCATGTTTATCGTGAATGTGATAACGCAATTTAAAAAGTAAACAGGACAGAGAAAACCTGTACTACCGACGATCAATAGAACGGAAACCACAGAAGGAAAGCAAGGGATCCTGACCGGTAAACTAGATTCCCGTAATGCAGAACACCACAAAGTCTGTAGGGATGGAAGATCGAGCACGTTAACATCCGACGGATGTGCAGAAATACACGTGACATGCTCTGTCAAAACACCTGTGTCCGTATCCATCGCGAATAGGAAACAGCGTAGGGAAAAAGAGAAAGTTATGCTCACGCTGTTTTATTGTCGAGCATTGTTGATCATAGGACAATTCGTAACGCGATTATGGTCGTGTACAGCTGATACAAAATGTCCAAACAGATCTTGCTCTTCAAGCACGCAATTTAAAAAAGAAGAGCACGAAATCGAAATCGCTTCTGCATGCCCAGCGTCTCGCGACTCGCCGCGTAGTCGTCAGCTTTCTAAAGTATCAACGTTTCTTACCTGAAGTTCTGCTTGTGAAACGTCGATCTCTCCTCTGTAGACGAACTCGATGATGAATTTGAGATCGTTGAAACACACATCCTGCGGCATAATGATCGTAGGATGTTTGCAAGGATTTGACAGTAGAAGCTTTTGAAAATAGGAACTGCACGCGGATAATACAACCTGCGCAAACAGAAGGAGCTTGTATCGCACGATCAATAATGCGAAGGAAGATCGGTAAGGGCCAACGCGGAAACACGACAGTCCAGCTATCTCGATCTTTGCTTACCTTGTGTGCCTTTAAGGAAGCTTCGTTGCATGCCAGGGTGACGTCCACGAAAGCTTCCGTTTGGAGGAGCTGGTGAAAAACGGACGTCATGTTTGATTGATAGTTGTTCCAACGCAGGCAGTAGTGCTGCCCGGCCATGCCGCCGCTGCAACAGAAACAACAGAGAAAAGATCAGAGATTGGTTTTCCGGATCAATGGTCATGGTTATCAAGTACAATCGAGGACTTAAAGAAACAAAGTTCATCAAGGAATCGTTTTGCCCTTCTCACCGCGATTAGCTCTTCGCAACGATACTCTCCTTCTTACTTTTCGATCGATCTGTAAAGCAAGACAGTACCTGTAGTGCACGCCCCAATAACGATCCGTCTCCATGAAATATTCGTTTTCCCAACACAGTTACGGAAGAGTATCGTTCGCTAACGTATTTGCGCAGTTCGAGAGAGTAAAGTAGAAAAAGAGGCAGATAAGGATTGGTAAAAGGTCCGAGAAGGAGAAACGAACGTCGAAGGGAAAATGAAGATCGAGAAAGAAGAAGAGACAGGTGAAATGTTAGTACCGATAGTGGACACAACCGGTCTCCCTCTCTTCACAGTGGAACGAAACCGAGAAACACTTTCGCGGTTTGATCAACGTCGTCGAATGACGTGAATGACGATCGACACGAAGATCCGTCGCGAGCTCGTGATAACGGTGGACAATTATTTGAAGGAAAGAAGAAATAGACAACACAAGGGAATTCGAAAAGAATGTCGTTAAATGTCCAAAAAAAATGTAGAGGGTTTAGATGCTAACAGAATACTGTTACTGACACGAATACGCGACACTACGAAAGCAACAAGGAAGGTCGGGCGTTGGTCTGTCTCGTAACATTCACCTGTTCCGTGGACCGTGCTTTATCTGCCTCTATCTATGTGACTCTTTATACGGGCCATTCCGCGTTATCTATCCGTTGGAACACGGACTTTTATCAGTTGCTTAGACGTGCGCCGATAACGTGAAAACTTTAAGCTCTCCACTCTCGTTTCGCGCCTCTTCTCATTCCCCCCGATTCTTCGCGCACCGATTTCTCCCCGCGCGCGATCGCCTGTTTCCTTGCCTCTCACGATTCGATATTCTGGAAACCGCGCCGCTCGGCCTATCACGCTGCTGCTCAGCCCGTCAATTCCGATTAACTTAAGTTTGTTACTTGTGCCGCGGGATCTTTGACAGACGTTAATTCGAGTCGCTTAGTTGATTGCTGACGCCGTTCACAAGCGGTCGCGCGTGCACCGAGATCCGGAGAGCGTAGCCTCTTTTCACAGCAACAAGTAAGCACACTTGGTATACCAGTACCTGTACTTTTCTATGATGTGGTGGCGGAGTGTTGAATGAATTCGGAATTCTTAACTTTATTGCACGACACAACAAAGTTCCTCTGGAAAGCAGCAATTTTGAAAATACAGGCGAAGAAGGATGCGTGTGAATAAATATGCACTGTAAGTCATCAATGCTCCAGTTCCATTATTCACTATATTTCAGATAAATAACGACTCGTATCAAATTTTGTACAACACGTTTATGACAATTCATGTCACATTTTCATAGTGTTTTTATATATTTCCTCATTATATTGAAACAAAATTAGTGCCTTTTTCATGTAACACATAATCGTGGCAACGCTCTCGTGTATGCAGAAATGTGTGGCATACATCGGAGGAAGGAAAAAGAACGCGATTAAAGCGACGGAGCGAATTAAAAGAAAACCGGACGTAACGCGACTCGAAGAAACGGAGTGAGACCGCACGCAGTCGGTGTGTCTTGTTCGGAAAGCGTTGGAAATTAAGAGAGTAGGGAGCAAAGGGAGTTACGATGGAAATGCAGTGTTCGACGATAGATGATCGCGGCTCATTGAATACGCTCGATCGATACGCTTTCTCGGCGGTTGATCTTTCGCGCGTACGTCCAAGGTTTCGTGTAAAGCTTTTTTTTCCATCACTATATAGATTATAAATCTTTTAACGATGCATGTAGGTACTCCCGTTACTTTCACCGATATTGCACTCTCGTGAACAGGCAGCGGGAATACAAGCATGAAAATGGTGAACAGTATGTACATATATGTATCCATTCATTTTCATCGAGGGCGGCAGTTTCTGCGCGCGAAACTGTGAAAGATGCAGCGTTGTATACATATACGAGCATGTACACATGTACTATACGCGTCACTCGCGAGAAGGTGCACGCCGTAGATACGTTCATGGAAAGGAGTGGAGGCAAACGTAAAGGTAGACCACTTAGGTGTAACAGCGTTCACTTACACGTATATATAACGCCTGTATTCAACAACAGTGAGCAATCGTCACAAAAACAGAAGCGGCGGCAGCAGCAGCAGCAGCAGCAAAGATGAGTGCGACGACAGAGCAAGTTGCACACGCGATCGCGAGAAGGAAAGCGCGTGGGCGCTGAGTCTGCTTTATTCGTTCGAAAGATTGTCAAAATCGGCGATAAATATGTCGCATCGATGGACGCTCATCCCTTGCGCGTTCGCGCTTTCTTTCGCGGCCTCGGAGAAGGACACTGCGTTGGTCTCTCCCTTTCAGAGAATCCTCCCTTCCATCTTCCCTTCCACGATTCATCTCAATTTTTCTTCGAGCTTTTTGTGTCCAATTTCACCTCGCCTCCCTCGGATCCCATCCTCTTTCTTTTTCCCCGTCTGTCTCTCTGCCATTCGTGGAGTAGACGAGCAAGCTCCCCTCTTCTTCTACCCCCGTATCGTTCTCGTTTCATCTCCCTCTTTTCTTTTCTCTGGCCCTCCTTGTCCCTCGGTCGTTTCATCGTTTCTTTCTCGACCCTCCTCGTCTCTCGTTCCCTCTTTCTCCGCGCGTTGCCTCCATTTACTCGTTCCCTCGTTCCCTCCCCACGAGGCGAAGACGCTATTTTCTCGTGGCCCCTTTTCTTCCACCGTCTCCGCCACCCTTCTCTCTTTTTCTCCTTTCCTCTCATCTCCTCTCCTCCGCACTCTCCTTCTCTCTCCGCCGCACTGATACGTATATACACTTCGTGTTCTCGCTCGATGGGAAGCTACTACCTTCTCTCTTCCTCCGCTCCTTCCTCTCCCTATACTACACGCGGCGTTTCCTTTTCCTCCTCGTCGGTGCGCGTTTTACGTTTTTCCAACGTTATCGACGTTCTTCCTCGGCTCTTCTCGGACTTTTTCCTTTCGTCGTACCGTCCTACCGTCGTCCTCGAGACGACCAACCAGCTCTTTCTCCGGGAAAACGTAAGCGGAAACGGCCTCTCCCCTCCTATACCTAGTCTTCCAGCCAGAACCAGAGTTTCTACAGAGGGAACGCTCTGAAATCTTCCAGAACAGTTTTCTCCGCTTCGCGCTTCCATGTTCTCAGTTTCCTTATTCCGTAGGAAAGGCGCGGCCGATAAAATGCGTCACTAATAAAATTTGCATCGCCATCGGCCAGCTACGTATGCGCACTATCACCTTCTCGTACCCATTCTCCCTTGCAAACAATTCGTATAGCACTTTCTAATGTTTGCCACGATGATTCCTACAAACGCACCGATCACAAGTACCTAAGTATATCGGCTACCATCGCCGTTACGATCGATTACTTTGCAACCTCTAATAGTAGGGAATGTGTCATCTATTTTTACCACGAATCAAAGACTGTGCGAAAGCGATTAATTAGTTTTCAGTTGTTAAACTAAATGTGGTTTGCTTATTGTAGATTAAGAAGTAAACACGAAAGAAGCGAAACGGTATGATACGATACGAGGATCGTTCGACTTTTTTCTTGAAGATTTCGATGACGTTCTCCGCGCTCCACCATCGATTTATGGTAATACATCGGTTCGTTTCGTGGCCCGTGTAACGGAGAGACTCGATAAGATGACGCTATCGGAATAGCTGTAATCGATTCTGCTAATCACTCGAAACGGAGAATGACTTCTTTTGATTAGCAAGAATACAACGGATCAAGGAAAGCAAGGAGAAAGCAGAGCGAAAAGAAAAACAATAGGAGAGGAAGAGATACGAATGAAGAGAATATCAAGTAGTGGTTAACAAGACGGAGCAGTCCTAATTTCCGTCCTGTCTGTACCGTAAGGCATAACAGTACCGCATTCCGAATGCCCTTCGTTTCTTCGTTTCTTTCCGTTCACCTTTCCGAGAGAATCAAGCTCTCCCAGCCTCTCACCTGTTCCCCTTCGCTCTACCACTGGCAACAGCATAATCGTACTTATATAGCATTGACTTGGTTCTTCCTACTGCCTTTGCCTCCCGCCATTAGTCTCTGACGTTGTTTTCGAAGGGAAAAGAAAAGAGAGAGGAGAAAGAACGCGCGAGTCGCGGTGGGAGTGGACGGACCCGGAAACGCCAATTTCACTGAAGACTAAACGAGAACGGAGAGGAATCGACACGGGGAGAGACGCGCAAGAAAGGAGAAAAGAAAAATGCTCTCTATATCGGAGAGCGCACGTTCTATACGCTGTTTTCGATTGTCCTTTTACAAAAAAATAGTTTCGTAATGTAGGCTCTCAAGGCTGTCTTTAACAGTTACATTGTAGTATAGGCTCATAACAATATTTATAATCAGTACGTTGTAGATTCTCAAGGCTGTCGGTATTAGCTATATTATAGACATTAAAACTGGCGACCAGACGACGACAGTCGGGGCATCCGAAATTCGGCGGTAGCAGACAATATAAAAGTTGTATCGTGTATTTCGCGCTCGACGATCTGAATAGCCCGTCGTACGATTTACGGCAGAGAAATATATTTAGAGAGTAGTACGTTTCTTGAATTTCCTTTAATATTCTGATCAACCAGCTTTTCCATTTCCTTCCCACAGTACAAAAAAATACATCTTCGAAATAGCTTCTTTTGCGGAAGAGCTTCGAACAAGGCTTGCACGTTCGTTTCGTTTCAACGTTACGCGTTTCTTTCTACGCGATAGTCTATAACCTTCTCTTTTTCCTCTATTCCTATAGAACAGGGGTAAACGAGGGTTGAAAACCACCCCCGAGTTCCACGTGATCAGGGTTGCGTCCCTTCGAAGGGTGCAACGTAAGAGGGTGACGTGGACTTGTCCAAGGTCGCACGTGGCTCGCCCAAAGGGATCTTTTCACCCTAGCTACGAGGGTGCGCAATGTTTCTTGCCGTTCATTTGATTCCACGTTTATTCGCGCGTCACGAATCAAAATTTTATATTTTATATATGGGACTCGCATACATTTGATACATCTCCAAATGGAATAACCATCGACATCTCCTTTCTCTCTTGCTTTCTTCGTTTCATGACAGTTGCGAGTAGTCCCATTTAGTTGGGGAAGATACGTAGCTAGTAAAGTTTCGGGGGAAAGAGAAAGGAGCAACTTATAGGATGTGCAGGAATAGTCGGTTGAACGGAAGCAACGAAGAAGAAGGGAACTGGAGAAAGGGTGAAGAGGGGGTGGCGAACAGCGGATAAGAGAGTCTCTTTGTGTGCCCGTGTACAGCGGAGGGATGAAAGCGGAGGATGAAAAAGCCGAGGGACAGATGGCCCTTTCAGACAATGAGAAACTCCGGAGATAAGGGGAACGCGAGTGAGAATCCAACGGGAGAAAGAGAAAGAGTAAGAGCAGCGGAGAAAAGGTTTGTGAGGGAGAGAGAAAGAGTAGGGGAAGAGGCAAAACTGCTTTTTTGAGACACCAATGGAGAGGGACATAATGAACGACGAGGCAGAAGCGAGAGATCAGGACAGCGAAAAAAGAATGATAGAAAGAGAAGAGAAACAGAAAGAGAGGTTGAAGGAAAAGAAACAAGGGGACGAGAATGAGTCAGACATGGGATCGACTGTGCCAACGATTTTTAGACGTAATTAATGATCATGAAATTTACTATTGACTAATGAAAATAACAATTTGAAAAATGTAAGGAAAAATCGTGAATGCAAAGGAAATAATGATTATCTCTTGTCAATTTCGATTCGATTTATGTTTCAACGAGAACATCCGATCAATCGTATTCTGAATACTGCATCATCGCATGCATACTAAAAATTCGGAACGATCTGCACTTTTCGGAGTAAGTGCCGTGATGTTTTCACAGTCCTCTTTCCGAAAGGCTTCATTTCCTTACTCACTTCGTAGCCAGAGCCTCAGAATACTTTCATTCTAATGCAATGTGTCAAGCGGCACCATGACTTCAAACTCCGGCCGCGACACGAATCCCTTCAATGTGCAACAAAGTATCGTTCGAGCTCGCAGAACTCCCGCGCTTCCACCGGTAATCGTCGGCTATCGATACTTCTACTTACGATATACCTGTCCTTCGACAGACGGTTCCGAATATCAGCAATTTTTAAAAATTAGGCCATATATTTGTTACGTGTTGACTTCGACACGTGCAATCGTCCTTAAAAAGGGCTTGCCGCTAACACATATGTAGAGATTCGGTCACAATTACGTATTACGATCTTCATAATCTCAAATTACATATCTAATTTCTTAGGTAAATTAATTGCAAAGAAAAGAACACAGAATAATCAGTCAAGAAAGTTCTCGTTCCTCGTACTCCTACCATCTATGCTTCCTTCTCTTTCCCTTGTGCCCTCTCTTTTTGATCGTTTCTAAAGAAACAGGATGTATGGAACGGGATAAGGAATATAGAGTAGGGAGAGAAAGGCAAGAGGGTTGCCAGCGGTAAAGAGCCGAGAGCCGAATGGTTCGAATGAACAGCAGGGTAAGAGGGGACGAAGGTGAAGGAGGAGACAGCAACGTCGACAACAGTGGCGGTCGCGTCGTCGACGACGACGACGAACGAGCGAGAAAAGGAGATTGTAGAATGGAAGGAAAAAGAGGTGTAGGTGGGGTGGAAGAGGAGGTGACGAAGAAGGTTATCGGGAGGGGGAGGAGGGGAGGTAGGCAGAGACAAGGAGGCGAGGTGTAGAGGAAAAGGAAAAGGGTAGTAGAGACGGATAGAAACGTAGGATAGAAAGAAAGGAAAGAGAGGTCAGGGTGGTAGACAGGATGCTACGTGGGAAGTCGAAGGCTGAAGGGAGGAACCGGACGAGGTTGGCTGAACGAGGCAAGAGAAATTTCTTGCTTCGTCTACTTCCATTCTTCTTCCCTGTCCCTTCTTCGTTCTTATCATACTTTTCTCTTTCTCATCCAGACTCGGTGCACACTACGTAACATGAGGACAAGGAGAATGCGAAGGCGGAGAAACAAAAGAGAACGGAGAGAGAATGGCCAAATTTTTCGGTTATAAGCCACGGTTGAAAATAGCAGATAGAAAAATAAAAAAGAGTAGAAGAGTAACAAAAACGAGAAAGATTAAGAAAGGATAAGAAGAGAGAGAAAAAATAGAGAGAAAGAACTTTACGACAAGTCCAAAACGAGGACGCAGAGAAAATGACAAAGGCGAGAGGGGCGTTCGATTCGATTGGAAAGGCAGGCAGAGGAGCCTCTTTCCTTTTACCAGCGTTTTCTCCGTATTATGCTCCGTACTTTCCGTTGTTCCTATGCGCGCGCGTACAAAACCGCGCTCAAATGTGTGCGAGTACACGCGCGCCTGCCTGCATCGTACGTATACGTAACCAATACATACATTCTATCAAGGAGAAGTATATACGTTCGCGTTCTTTTTCTTTTCTATGTTTCTTTGCGTTACCTTTCTATTCTCTTCGCTTCTATATCTACCTCTGTCTCTGTCTCTTGGCACTTGTATACAACTTTTTCTATTCCTCTCTCTGCTTCCTTTCTCTTTTGCCATCTCAATTACTATACTAGGTTTCACGTTATGTGGCTCTATGCTTTTGCGGCGAGAGGGCAGCTTTATACGTGGGTGAACGGGAAAATGTCTTTTGAAACCTTTCTAGGTCGCTCTCGATCGCCCCACTGTCAGTCATATACACGCGATTCCGCTTGGGGCTCTCGAGAAAATAGTTGATCTCATGGTACTTTTCTTTTAGAGATAATACAAGCTTGGAATTATACTCTACATTCTATATTACACTTTCCTCTTCTGTTTTATTCGTTCTTTGCCTCCCGTATATTTTCCCTTCCTAAATTATACGTATCGAAAGTAAATAAACTTTGTTATCTAGCTGTGTTTTTCGAAAGAGAAGCTTAGCCTTTGTAAGTCTTAAATGCATCTATTGACGTTATCTCGCATAGTCAGTTTTGTCTTCCGGAACTCGAACCTCGAATAATTCCGAGAAAAAATAAGAGGACAAAGAAAGAGGAAGAAAACGTATGAGAAGAAGGATAGAATAAGAGAGCCAGATAGAAGGAATAGAGAGGTGATGAAAAGTAGGAGAGGTGGATGAGAAGAGGAAAAAAGAGAATGTACGCGGTTCTCTCTGTGGATACGAACGCGGCAAGGCTGAAGAGAAGGAACAGTAAAATTGTGGAGAATGTGTACGCGCCATCAGGGTGGCCTAGATTCAGTCAAGACCTGCTTTCTAGGCAACATTTCTCTTTATCATCGGTGACGCGAGTACAATGTATAGGTAAACCGTTGCTTGCCGTACGGTTGCGGAGAAAATCTCAGGTGCACGGTGTGTACTCATTAATGGCTCTCGCGATCGTTTTACCAATGATTTAATAAATAATATCTTCTCCTACAGTTGCACGATCACGAATTAGTAATAAGCGTTTATGTACATGTTACTCTCCTCGATTCTTTCTCTGCGTTTTCTGCGTCTCATCGTCTAAAAAATCATTTCCTCTCTTCTTTAAATCGTGTTTCTACTGTTATTATATATTAAAACTGTAATAATTACTTTCACTGTCTGTAAAAGTGTTGTATTTTATATAATTGCTTTTCACGTTGCTTTAAATTCATCACCATATAAATTAAACGTGGGTATCATTGATAAAGAATAATCAACTTGCAATGTAGAGTGACAATTGTAAATATGTATAATAGAATTTTCTCTAAAAATGATGTGAAAAATGAATAAAAAGATAAATAAAACACGAAATTTGTACAATATTTCATTTCGTGTAAACATTTCGAGATTCAGGTTCACGAGTAATTTTACGTCAAGGCAAAGCACTGCTTGTGTTTTCCTTAGTGCTTAACCATATAATAAGCGCAAACATTAAATGTTTCCTGCGCATACGTAATCGCTGATTATTGGACAGTTATCGTGCACGTGACCTATCCTAATCGGCGACAGTGGTTTGAACGTACACGCGGCAAGTGTTCCAAATCCTCATGGAGAGAAGCCACGAGGCGCGCGTGGAGGGACGTTTAATTCATTTCTTCGTATGCGACAGGTCATTAAACGCCGTAGATCATTCTCACGCACACGCTAACTGACCAGCTGTGCGACACTATAGAGGAGGTGGTCAAGTCAACAAAATAACACGCGCGGACCGAATTGTCTAAGAGATTCTCATAACGAAACTCAGCTCTGTCCGTGTACAGCTCTATTATAGTTGCAAGGTTCGCCCGTAGAATCGATACACTTTTCGATATATTAACTATTTTCGAAGTTCATACAGACTGGTTTAAGACGTATCAACAAGATTATGACAGTACTGTCTAGTAGAATTTAATACGTCAATCAAGTGTCACTTAACATCTGCCCGTTAATAAAGAAATTGTAGTATAGAAATTTGTTGCTCACCTTACCATGACCTGGGCCACAAATAAAATCACTACCAAAGTTAAAGTTCAATTGATGATTGGCAACTTTGTGCCAAGGTTCGTTGAAGACACTCACTTTTGCTATAGTTGTGACACTCGATGAGTTATACACGAATATGCGTAGGACACGTCTTACAGAGGATATTTTCAGGAAACGTGTGTTCACTGAGTGACACACGGAGAATTGTCAGTGGCCGCGTAATGCGCGTACCGCGGTGACGACTGGCAGCTGTCACTCTCTCAGTTTGCCCGTGAAAACGTCGCGGCACGAAGTGGCGTAGCGAATCACAGAGAGAGACGGGAAAAGAGAAAGACATAAATGCACACTAGGGGGCACCGTGATGGCGGCGGACGACCCGTGTTCCGTTGCGGACGGTGGCGCAAAGCGATTAAGCGATTTTGTTGTGGACCCCGATTCTTCCCTTCGTCGGCTCTCTCTTCCCGGCTTTCCACTTCTCCCGCGCCGCCTTTCGCCTCTCCCGCCGCCTAGCCGTAAACGCGCCCCTCAACGGAAATCTGCCTTACTCCCCACCATAACCGGCAAAAATCAGGATTGTATCAACTTCTTTTTTTTGTCAGTATCATTAGTTTTATCAAAACATTGAACGAATCACACTATGAGCTTCAAAGCTCATCGCATGCCATGTCGTTGTGAACGATCAACATTGATATAATTTCAAATGCGTTACTGGAGGTGCTTACATTTCATAAATATATGAAATTCTTTCAGCAATCCTTCACACTAGTTAAATAAATGAATCAATCTCAAAATGCACGTGCAATTAAGAGGTGACTTTAACTTCATACAGATTTCTCTCTTTTCAACTTTGATGCGTAAAAATCTTAGTCCTAGGTTCTAAAAATCTTCCGACGAGCCTGCGTTAACCGACTGTTCTCGGCGCCCTACTATTCGTATCTTGATGCGCAGAAAGCCAAGTTCCATTTTCTGCGCCGCGTCACCCCACGAGAATCACAGTTTCCGCGCGTCCCGGTTATCCCCTCGCAGAGCGGGTCGATCGTTAACGCGTAGCAGTACAGCCATTGTGTAAAAAGAAGCTACAGAGGTTAGATAGTGTACGCTGAGGACAAGAAGTGCGGTTTTTCCTGGTTTTCCACTTGTGATATTTTAGACGTCGTAGGTGAGTAATTCACACGCATTTGTCAGTTTATGCTTTCACGTTAGCAAGTTCATTACTAGAATTACGGAAAGTTCATGGGAAATCGGGTCGACTTGCTAAACGACTGTATAGTGTGCTTTTCTTACCATACAAGCTTGAAGTTTTGTGAATGTACATCGGATGTGCTGTTCTAGATAAAATGCGTAACACGTGTTTCGAGATTCATACAGATCATTCGTTGCTTAGAATACAATTACTTGTACTTTGTTTTTGAATAGTTTTCGCCATTTTGCCTTGGCCAAATCTGCAAAGTCGGCCATTACGTACGCGTGCCAGGTCGCGGTCCAGGGCCGGTAATGACGTGCAAACTACCTTGTATGTCTTTACTAAAGACTCTTTAGGATTAAATGTTAAATCTCAACTATCGCGTATACGTGAAAGGTGTAAATTGTTTTCGCGGTATACTGCTCGCATTTGGAACAAACGTAAATAAAATTGGACATTCGCGTGTACACAAATCTGTACGATGATAAGCTGCAATTATTTCATCTGAATGGGACAACGTTGATAGGTATCAAACCGATAAGAAAATCGTCAACTACCTAAGGTGACATTTGATGTCATAATGGTATTAATTTGCAATTATAACATGATTTAATTATTGTCAGTGAATATTCTATTCAATGTAAGTCATGAAAAAAATTATTGGATCTCTCGTGAATCTTATTTTCATAGTCACAATGGTCAATAAATTCATTATAACATATTTACATAAATAATATGCGGTTGATGACTAAATTTTGTAATAACATTCGTGATAGCAATGTATTTTAAATGCTACAGTTGTATATGTTCCTTTTTAATGCTCCTATTGAAATATAACAGCTTTTCCCCGATAATATGTATGAATGTTATGTCTAAGGACAAAATATAATGTTTTCATGAGTATAGTAAAAAAACTAAACTATGCGAAAAGAAACTGTTGTTTGCGTCCTCTAGTCGCAATTTCCAATCGCACTCGGAATATCATAGCTTTTGGGGACAGAGCGCATGCCCATTAGTACATAGTTTCTTTTTTCTTTTGTACCCTCTTCCGGGGAAACCTGCGCTCTCTGACGGGCGGCGTTACAGGCAAACCTAGCAGGCATTGCGCTACGCCATTGTTGAAAAGGGCAGCGCTCGTGGCGCACGCCGAGCTTGGACGCTTGACGCAGTTTTTCACTTTTCACTCATCCCGTTGCTGTGATATTAGATTGTTTTATACTCCATATTAGGTGAGTTTTCTCATCAAGTAACCAATTATTTGTATGATTCACGATTTCGCTAAAGCTTGCAAGAAAATTCCGGAAAATCTGAAGCTTGACTGACATGGCGCGGGCGGGTCTTCTCCATATAGCTAACAATACGATCATTTATCAGCTTAAGTTAAATATATAACAGACAATTCTCAGCGTAGTCAAAGTTTGCGATTATAACGTTCGATGATAAATACAAATGATGCTATAACGGGGAGCTTTCGTAAAATTGATCTGTCGGAGATAAATTTTAGGTCATCTCTTTCCTTGCAAGCTTTTCTTCTATCGCCATTTTGTCCGGGTGCGACCTCGCGGACGGCCATATTGCGATCCACGTCTCTTCTCTCGCAGTTTCCGTAAGCGGCGTGAGGAAAAGGCATCGTTCGTTTCTGCCGGTTGGTTGAAGTGATTGGGAAAATTATCTCTTGCCAACTTGTTTTCGTTTCGCACACGCTGTTCGGCGCCATCTGACGTAACGTTTAATGCAAGATAACAATATAAATAGATTATGCAATCGTGCGTAAGCACTGGTGAACGTTCTTCGCTTTATTTTGCATTAATCTTCACGCACGTATAGCTCTCTTCGTGTCCCTTTCACCCTTCTATATGAAAACTTATCCGTTGCGCATGTGAAACTAGTAATCGATTTCTCATTTTATTGCGCATTAACTGTTGGAACGACAGTGTGACGTAAATTGCTCCTTTTTCACCTGCTTCATAATTTATACGAGTTATGGTTTCTCGAGATACACATATTTCAGCATTATACGGGATATTTTTGTAATACAAATCGATAGTGCTTCCATTTCTATATAGTAGAAGACTGTTTCTAATTTAATACTCGTGCAATTCTTTTATTGTAATCGTGGAGTAATAGGGCTGTTTTTATTATGTTTGTATATTGAACGTAGGATCTTTACGTTTTCCTGTTTCTTTCGGTTTAATTTCGAAAATTAATATATTTCACCTGGGTTTGTTTCCGTGAAAATCATATTTTCTGGTCAGTCGATATCGTCAGGGTTACTGGAACACTTAGTAGACGCCCCTGAATTCCAGGGCCTCAAGTTAGTGCGCACGTTAAATGCGCAGGTGGGATGCAGGCTGCGCGTGCGTAGTGCTTGCGCGTCCTCCTGCATCATCCCCTCTACGTCGTCCATTACCGTTATGAGGACACGCACAAAGGAAAAGGCCAGAAGACCAATTCGACCGACGCGCTTGCATCGTACGGCCATTTTGGAAGCTTCGCTGCTTCCTCGCGGAGCTTTTTACCGCGGTTGTTGTCGGAAAGGATAGATAACATTATTGATCCGGCCCTGTATTCGCGAATTATCAGGCCCCAATGTTCGTGTTAATCGGGCGCAGGATATTTAGATAGCATTAAACACGGTCGCGATATACGACGAGCAGATCTGTCGCCTGATCTGTTAATTATCAAGAGTATTTTCCTTGTTTTGTTCAGAAACGAAGCCACATAAACGAAAATGGAAGACGATCAACAGTTCTGTCTAAGATGGAACAATCATCAGACTACATTAATACAAAATTTCGATACGCTTCTCGAAAGCGGGACACTGGTAGACTGTACGTTGGCTGCTGAAGGAAAATACCTGAAAGCACATAAAGTTGTGCTGTCCGCTTGTAGTCCGTACTTCGAAGTGAGTATAATTTTTACTATGTCATTTTGATTATTAATGTTATTATCGCTTTTCGTAATATATTTTTTCCAAACGCGATACATCTTTAATGAGACGGAACTACAGTAGATTCAAGATTATTTGTTCATTGAATTTGCATGTTTTGGTTTTTATGTAGGCTGTAACTTCAATTTTATAGAATACATTATAAAAAAAATTGTACATTTACACGACAGTGGTTCAGTCTTTTTTTTTTTGAAATTTATACTTCAATTGTTCAAGTATTTTTATCGGGCAAGTGCAATTTAAATTGTAATCTTAGAATGGAACTGAGTGAAAAACCTGAAATTGAAACAAGATGGCTGCCCTTGTTGAATATTGCCTGGGCAGAAGCCTGAGAGGCAGGGGGATTGAAAGCCCAAACCCCCCTCCTGGTTCCTCCCGGTAATCAATACAGAGAAAGCAAGATGGCTGATTTCCAGGGCATTTGCCCTGGGATTCAACATTGATGTGGGAGGGAGTGCATACAGGGGCAACACATTGCTTCATTTCAATTTGATTTAGGAAAATGATTTCAAATAATTGACATAAATGATACACATTAATTTGTAATATTAATTTATTTACAGCTATTTATTTGTACTTGTCCCTTAATAAATTTACTTAACAGTTTCAAGTGAGCAACTATAATTGGCAATAGATTTAATAAACAAAACTATTTTTGAATGGGGAAATTTTATTATTAATCGAAAATATTTTTTATAGGGTCTCCTCAGCGAACACTATGACAAGCACCCTGTATTTATACTTAAAGACGTGAAGTTTAAAGAATTGAAAGCAATGATGGACTACATGTATCGAGGGGAAGTGAATATATCGCAAGACCAATTAGCCGCTCTTCTTAAGGCTGCGGAATCCCTACAAATTAAAGGACTCTCGGAAAGTAGAACAGGAAGTAATACCAAAACAGATTCGAGGCAACAGAAAGTCGTTCCACAAACCACGACACCGACGGTAGACATTCCACTTTCGTCTTCCGGGTTAACAATAGAGAAAAACAAAGTTCCTAGGCTAAGTTTGACGCAGGCGTCTGTCGTGGATTTGCCCGAAGAATCCGCGAGTCCTCAAATAACCAAGGGTCTGTCTTCGAGGTAAGATTTTTCGAAGTATGAATAGCAAATATTTAAATATATCTTAGCATGTAATGTTAATATGGTTTTTCGGTTTTATAGGGAAGGTTCACAAAGTCCTACTGCAAGAAAAAGAAAAAGAATGAAAAGGCGGAGCATAAGTGAGGATAATTCAACAGAAAATCACGAAGCATCAAATTCGAGTGACATGCCCCAGCAACAACAATTGGTGGGTGGTGGCCCTGCACTCGGAATAGCGCCGGTAGCAGACGAGAAATCGCATGCCGATCCCACAGACTCCATCGGTAGGTCAGCTTTAATGACACAGCTGACCAAACCTGCCGATGAGATGTTACAAGTGAGTTCTATTCAATGCAATAAATAAAGAGTATGGAATATTTGTTCTGTACGATCATTTGAATTGTTTGCCAACGTTTCTAATAGAAACTGTTGCTGGATTGCTCTATTTCTTTCGCGCGTTGGCAGAGCAAACTGTCGTACTTAATCCTTCTATTTGATGTATAAATGTTTATTCTTATAGAGTGGAAACGGTGCGATACATGATCAAAATGACATTTTTTTTAGCGTGTAAAAGAGAGATGGTCCAGCCTTTTTTTTACAAAGTAACTTTCTTTTTTAGCTGGCGTTGGAAAAACCAGAACCGAACGATAGCCTAATTGAGCCCAAATCCGAATACTTAGAAGATGCGGAAGAAGGCGTTGAAGACCTAACGTTAGATGATGATATGAACGATTTAACGGAAATGGAGCAGGATAACAACAGAGCTGGGCCATCACATGACCCATCTCAACATCCGGGTAAGTTAACAGAACTTATTACCTTTAAATTTTGTTTGATCTATTGTTTGTACGTAACGTGGTAGCAAAATACAGGGTATTTTGTGTATTTATTTGATATGCGAGTCTATTTCAAATTTTGTGTTGAGTTGAGAATTTCTCATTACTGTTGATCATGCGTACGGCTAGAGCATGGTGCTTGCGTGGTATCTCATGCAAATTTAAATGAGAAATCTAGTCATGTCATGCGTTTCTCTCTTTAAACACAGTAACACAACTTTAATCCAAAGAAACTTTGAGTCGAAGCACAGCATTCTCTCTTTTTAAAAGCAAATATCCCCGTTATGAAGAAGGAAATAGGAGATCTATCTCGCGCTGAACGCGATAGGAATTTGAAATGTGTATTAATTCGAGGAAGGGATTCGTTCAATGACAATCAGTTGAAAGTTCTAATCACGTTCCGCGTTTCGTTTTTTGTTTATTAAATGTTAAACGGGTCGTGTAATGATCGGCCGACATTAGATTGGGTTTCCTCGTTGCAGGTGGGGGGGCGGGAGCGCGGTCTCGGTCGAGAGGGAATTTGGGTGGTGGTGGCGGTGCCCTCTGGGCGACCCATTTCCTCGAATGTAATAAAGGGCCGAACATGAGGCGGCCACGCCCAGACGTTGACGTAGGCGCGTTGCTTAAATCGCTGGAAAAGAAACAGGGCAGAAAGTATAGTTTAGACTCGGTTAAAATGTCCCTGGATGCAATATTACAACAGGGGGTTAGCACCACTCAGGCTTCAGAGATGTACGGCATTAATCGTTCAACCCTGCAGTTCTATTTGAAAAAATTAAACGTCGTCCGAAGGAGATGGAGGCAACAACCTAGTAACCTGATCCAGCCTAGACAGCCTTAGTGTGGTGTACGCTTTTGAAATATAAATACAGTTCATGTAATGATCGATATTATCGGGATTCGAAAACAAACAGTGATGTGCCATTGAATGATAGATTCCTTCCTATTCTGCTCTGTTCTTTTTACATTCTTGCGCACCGATTGCCGTTTCATTTCTCTTTAGTTTTATATGTTCATACACTGGTCGTATTTTTTTTAGAGTTGACCTCGTACTTAGTTCTTTCATTACCAATGTACGCGCGACATTACTTCCTATTAGGCGTAATTTATTCTCAATTTTACAGTTAAGAACTTTCTTTACTAATGTTTCTACGTAATACTCAGGAAATTAGCTTTGTTGTGACGATACTACTCAAGGTATCGATAATATTTAAGTAGTATATTTAAAAGTTGTTAATTGTTTCATACATTTTGTAGCCGTGTTACCTCTGTTACGAATCTAGTCATTAAAGTTTATATGAAATCACCATCACTGAGAGACGAGAGGTGTACAAAACATCAGACTGTGAAGTAGTTTGGAAACTTATCAGTATTACTTCTTTGTTCTAAGTGTTATCGTAGCTATTTAATTAGGTAAAATATATTCGAGATACGCTAAGAATTCAACGTATGTCCTTACGTATGTTGTGCGCCTGTGTGTGTGTAATGATCGTGGATATTTAATAGGAGCATAAAATGTTTCGTATTATCTGCCAATTTGGATTTCCGGGAGAATATAACGGGGAGAATAGGAATTCGGTGATACAGTGTTACTCTATGACATACGCAATACTGCCAGATATATGTTGTTTTTTTTTTTAAAAGAATGTGAGAGAATGATTTCTGTTATTGTCTATACCCTGTATTTTACTACTTCGGATAGTTCCAATGTCCGAAGAATTTTTGTGTTCTCTCGTTTTAATGAGAGTACACATTGAACGTAATAAAGTATTGTCCTTCCTAGAGCTTTGTTGATTCTTCGACGTGAAAGTATTCGATCATTACGGCTTTTATCCAGTTTTAATTTTTCTACTAGAAAACTTTCTACTGTTACATATTATGTAGTATGCACTATGTTCTTTGTTTTATCACGGGGAAATACTTTATGAGCACGATTATTTTTTTATCCTTAAGCAGGTATCGGTTCATGGCACGTAACCGGCGACAGAAGTAATGCTGGCGGAGTCGTGGGTTCCGTAGGAGCTTTGGGAACTACGGACGAAGTGCTTCTCGCAGCGCAGGAGGCCGTTCCGGCCCATCGTGATTCACAAGGTAGGCTCACCCATATCATTTGTCATTCGTTTCTGCACGCCATAACAATGGGCACTCGTATTTGGCGCAACACTCTTTAATATGTAGTTACGATAAACTGCACAATGCATTTAAGAAAATGCAATGAAAAAATAAAAGCAATATAGGGCATCAATTGGATGATAGGACAACAAACGTTTTGTGAATATATCTAATAGCTATTTATATTGTGAAGTAATATGTAAGTGCAAAAAGTAATAAATTAAGATTTAGTAGGCGTTTAATTGCGAAAGGTGCCTATTGCGCGGGCGTGACAGGACATTTTTGTTTCACTGTCGAATAACGTGGTTCAACTTAGAAGCCGATACGTTCAAGAGTAGCACGGTCTCTGAAAGAGCTTTTTTATTTCCTAAACGGAGCATGTAGTTTCTTGTTAATTTCCAAATTCCTTATCTCTGTCTATCTTCTTTTTTATTTTTCATCGCGGTACCACGTTACGAGGTTGACGCAGGATACGCTACAATCGTTTTATTTATATTTCATACTCTTTGTCACCTTATCAATAAATTTGTTATTTTTGTCGGTCAGTGGTATTGAAATTCAGTGGCAATAAATCTGCGACTACGCTCGTATAATTTTCTTCCGTCTTATTTTTGCGGCTGTCTTTAGTGTTGGCCTCGCAACGCGATATTGCAAACCCTCTCTCTCCCCTGCAAGGTAAAATCGACCGTGCAGTGCAGCTCTCGGTTGCGACCAAAGGAAACCCGAGACTCCGCGCTTCTTTCATATTATGCGCGTATCGAGAAAAAAGTAGTCTCCGCATATATCCTGCGATATATATCTCTTGTCGTATTTTCATATCAGCCATTCCAGTTTTCTTTTTGTACGCGATACAGCAAAATGATATTCCGTAGAACAGACAAGGAACGTATTACGAATTTAGGGGCCTGAATGTAATTTCCTAGTACGATGGTCCGTTTAATCGAACGATATATATAATTTATATATGTTCGTTTAATTTCGTTTCCGAGCATTAGAAATAGATTATAGCTGTTGAAGTAGGTTACTTTGTCGTACACGATACAAAAGGCTGACGTAAATTCAAGTTTTGTAGGAATCAACATGTCTGTTCCCACGGAGACACACAAGTCAGCCTTGAGCTGGATAAACTTCCATCAGAAGTATAGAATCGCGATACACGTATATACTAAAGACTTCCATGATTCGTAATTCAGGACGCGATGAAACTTTTCTAATCATTTGTATCGATTGTGAATCGTGCGTATTTCGAGAAACGAACTACTGAAAGTAATAAGTTAGTACGATACGTTCGTTATGTAATCATAAAAGACTTCGACTTGGTCGAGTTTTACGGGAATAGAAAGAAAAACGTAGAGGAAGAGAAAGAGAGGAATTGTGCAGCTGCCGTTCCTTCGGATCGATGCATCTGCTGTTACAACTGTGCAGCTGTCGTTGGCAGATGCAACTTAAAACTGGTAGGGCACGTACGATATTGAGAAACACGAAAACTAACATATGTCATGGAAACAAGAAAATTTTGTCCGTTAAATAAATTTTTCGTAACGAATCGTTTCGGGATGAAATTAAATAATTAATAAAATATATAATTGAAAGTATTAAAATTAAATGTATATACGGGAGGTTTTCGGAAAGACCTTCCAGCGTTTCAGTTCGCGATAACATTTATTTACGAAATTGAAGAGGAGAGACATTGCAATCGCGAACAGATTCCTCTTCTACGAGTTATCTTTTTTAATAGAGCGGGATATAAACGGTCGCTCAAAAAGGGTGATCCAACGTGGGAAACAAGGTAATTTTGGAGAGAGAGGACCGACCTCTCTGTCAATGCTAGTTCTTGATTTAAACCTGTAATACTTAATTTACAATCCGACTTAGAATTATCGCTTCTACATTCCCACTTGGATGATTACGTGTGAAACAGAAGACGATTTAATTAAGTTTCCTTTTGAATAACGAAGTATCTCATAAGCGCTCGCATTGATGGGGAAGGTCGTTGTTCTTGTCGTCAGAGACTTGTTACCTTGAATTAATTGCTCGGTCGAAAATTTAAAATAAGAGGAAGTTTCGATTACGCGCAAGTGATGCGCATCCGTTTACACTTTCGACACGTTCCGTGCTGCGCGGGTTATAAATCGCGAAGCTAAACAAATTTCTGTTTGGGCACTTTGAAACTCTACTTAATCGATATTGCAAAGAGCACAGTTATAGTTAACCCTTTCGCTACTACGGGTGACTATAGTCGGTCTGCATAAAATGCCATTGACGTATTACAGGCGACTATAGTCTGTCGTACTTTTAAGTCATTATCATTATCTACTGTCGTACTTTTAAGTCATTATCTGCAAGAAACAAACAACAATATTTCAAACAAATCAGGGCAAACAAATCTACTTCGGCTTACTGGAAGACACTTTCCTTCGGTGTATACAAGTACAACCACAAAACGAAAAAATCCTTTGCGAAAGTGCGTTGTATGTGCAAAACATGACAGGAGGAGCCGATCGCGGTACCAGTGCCAAATTTGCGATGTTGGTCTATGCGTAGTACAATGTTTCGAGCAATATCACACACTATATAATTATTAACTGTAATTATTATAATACAATTGTATTCTCTAATGATATTTAATTTCAAAGTTTAATTAAAAGTGATTATGTTTAAAAGTTATAAATATTTTAATTTGTGAAAAGTTTTTTTTCAATAAAGACTGTTAAATTAACTCGGGTTGCAGTGAAACGTAAATGCGGCCGCTGACGGGAGGCGGAGAACCCACTTGTAGCGAAAGGGTTAATTGCCAAGACGAATAACGAATGGGTTACTTATGGCGTTATATTTAAATTCATTCATTGTGGTAGATAGCCCATATTTAGAAGTACAATTCGCCCTGTTATTATTCATAGAAATTAACGTGCTGGAATAAATTTATTTAGTTTCCTCAAATATGAAATTTAAGGTATTGGTAGGGACAAGTTGACGTGTAGGAGGAGATACTATGAGTGGTGAGAGAGAAAGAAATAACGAAAGCATAGATTTGAAAATATGTGTACTACGTAATAAATTAGATATTCAGACAATGTGTTGTACTGACAACGCAAATTGACAACAGGATAAGGTAGTGCAAACGTGCCGCGGCACGGAACGTGTTTCTTATGTCTTCATATCGTTGCGTTCGGTTCTAATCTAATCAAACAGTACTATCATTTAATTTGAAATGTTTTATTTAATGTCTGTTCGAACGTACATTTTCCGTCCGTTACGTATTTCGGCATTCTGGCATTAATATTAATCAGAAACGCGGCTCGCCCGTGCCGGCAAGGCAATGGTCGCGTGCGTAGGCGAAGCGAAAATTAGATCCGGCATTGCGCCACGTTATTTACAGTGCGTAGGTTTTTCCTGTAAATGTTGTTGTGGAAACAAAACTGTATTCCGGTGGAAAAGGGTAGAGATGAGCACGTGTTCACGACTGCCCAAATGACGAGCATCTCCGTGGTTCGTTCTGAATTCTGATCAAAAAAAACGTTGTTCCAGCTCAGGTTTCTTTGGGCAAAACTGAATTATCGCGTTCATATATGCCACTGAAACCGGAATACTTAACCCTCGTATCCTAAAGAAAATGAGAGCACCCATTTGTAGTCGTGACACGCGTCCGCATTAAAAAGCTGACACACGCTCGTCGAGGTTCGCGCGTTTTCTCGTATGCACGCGCGCCTCACACGTGTCAAACTTTTCCGCGCGTATTGAGAGCGTGCGTACATGTGTCTATGCATATGCAACAGCACATGAAACACATGTACGCGCGAACATACATACGTACATGCATATGTATATATGCCATTGTGTATTTACATATATCTATATATATATCTATTATATCTATGACTATATGTACATATACATGAGCATACATACATATACGATGTGTGTTATCAACATACTTTTTCTTTGTCCATCCGTGTATGCGTACACTCGATAGTTCTCAATCCATTGCGTTGTGCCATTTTTTGAGTAATTCGCCTTGCATGCAACGCTTCCTTCGGTAGTGTAATTACGATTCTTTAACTCTGAGCGGAGGTGAGCGAGCGCGATGCGTTCTCGTAACATAGAAAAGAATACATACATGCCATACGATTTGTCTACCGATCATGATCGCGTATTTTTCACGAACGCAGTAATAATACATATTTGCGTACGCGTTTCTACATGGTGCCTGGTGGTGGGTCCCTCAGTTTGCAAATACATTTTCTTCTTACGTTTCTGTGACATGCGATACGAGGCGTACGCGCTTGCACACGTTCTATTACATTTTAACTAACCCATGTGTATATAACTTGCTTCTTTGTTCGTAACGCATAAAAACATTAAGTATTTGATTAACCTGATATAAATTGAATATTTCACGTGTACGTAGCGCGTGTGCGTTTATTGTACGATTCGCATAACGCGCATTTACCTGTGTACATTTACGCGAATATATGAACGTGTATGCATATATACATGTAAATGTGTATCAGGTAGATGCGCGGGTATGCGCACAGCATACGCACACACACATACGTACACTGATAACGTACAAACATCTACTACACAATGTTTTTCACTCGATATATGTACTGTTATCATATATCCAAATTGCGTAATGGGATCACATTTGTATAAAATGATTAATACTGTTCAGTGGTATTGTACTATATCGCAATCGAATCTCGTTGTACTATCCCATATCATTTAACGATGTACTTTGTTGCTATCATTTTATGTTCCTAGTGTTTAGGATATGTTGGAAGAGATTAATTGAGTTATAAAAGAAGAGGGGAATCAATATAGCGAGACGTTCTCTAATCGCGATCGAGCTATTTCTCGGTCGAGATATTTGAGAACGTTCGCTCCAGTATTGATACTGTGATATCGCAGAAGAAGAGACAAGAGGAAGTGCCAGGGGTATACAATTCGTACGAAATGCCCAGTATGACTATCGTTTG